TGTCACGCCCTCTGCAGCCAGAGGGCACTCCTACTCTGTCCTGTCCCTAGTTTCCTGTGCTTTGCTGTCCTTCCGGTGTCTCTCTCTCTGGGGCTATATATTTCTGGGTTTCTCATTCACCTTCGCTCAGCATTCTGTCACAGAAGTTGGAATGGACAAACCGTGGACTGGCAGAGTAAAAGCGCCCTCTGGCTGCAGAGGGCATGACATAGGGCTGTTCTAGATTTTAGTAAAAGCAGTACAACAGCTTCCAATAAAATAATAACCTCTTAGAAAAAATGAGGATTAATCAAATGAGTATAGAACCTGTGCGATCACATATAAGGATTAGAAATATCTCGGGGGAGGAAATATGCTGCACCAAAAATTGAGACAGAAAAATAGTTTAAATAATTTCTACACGAAAAACAGTGACATATTTTACAGTCTTTTTTTAAGTGCCAAAGATCACATATATCAACGTCTAAAACAATGGTTTATAACTTGGTGTAACTTGGTAATGTATAACTAAGTATTGTGTGACCTTTCTTTTTTAGGTAGTGCTTGGACCTCAAGCATTCCTATCATCATATTCATGTTCATATACTGTAGTTCTCTTCGACTTCATGTCCTCTCTCTTTCTCATGAGGGCAGGTTTGTGCATTGTGACCGTACTACATACAGGACAAATATAACAGGGCCAGCATCCATTCTCTCTCCCACACTTCTGTGTGCATCTCCTGGACCATATCTGCCATGGAAGTAAGGGCTGTCATAAGGCAAGAGCCAAGAGAGTCTCATTCTTTAAGGCTTCTTTCTGAGAACCTTCCTCTGCCTGATTATTTTGACTGAGTCCATGGAAAGGTATAAGGCAACTTTAATGGACACAAAGGTATGCAGTTTCTATTTTTATTCAGCTATAAGGTAAAACATGCTCTTTATTATACATTGAATGCAAAACAAATCAAAATCAAATAAAACATACACAAACAAGCTCTTCTCAGAAATCTACCATGACTCCTTCTACAAAAGTGCCTCTATAATACCTGGGTAACTGAATCATTTTTAAAATCACAACAATCTAAAAACAAATGTGATGTTTAATAGTCCAATGGTGTCCAGTTGATTGATTGCTTACTTTTTCCTTATCCATCTGGTACAATCCATTTGCAGAAGATCTGCTCTCCTCCTC